GTAAAAAAATTGTTATGGAAGATAGGAAAGAAGTCCCCGGATATGCCCAACTTTAAGCGGACCGTGGACCACCCTGTCTAAAAATGCAATTTGAATAAATTTACATTTTTTGTGTTGAACGGTTTAAGATACATATATTTAACTTAATCTTCCAACCCAGGGGCATGTTCCCCTGATGAAAGATCCTCATCTTGATGTTATTGCAATATCGGGGAAAAGAGATGCTACCAAGCTGGTAATGATCAAATGTATCCTCTGTCTTTCCTTAGTATGACTTAGTCAAACCAGAGAACCACATAATCTGGTACCTCGGGAACCGGTTTCGAAAGTTTTCTTGTCTCGGTTTTGGAGTGGTCGCTTCGGGGTGCACGTGGATTCACAGAAAGAAAATGTCGGTTAAAAGACTTATGCCCGGTAGAGTTTACAATTCGGGATAAGTTCGGTTATGTTGTCGAGACAACAGATACCCCGCAGTGACTGTGGGACTTAACGTTGCAATGAGTTAGTGTTATGTGTATATGCTACGGACTGGATGTAGGGGCATTTGGACCTTACCTTACCAAACCGTATACAATGAGTGTGTCGGATGAATGAGAAGTGTGTTAGGTCGGATGTTGTTGGATGAATGTGATAACATCTTTGTTTGGTTATGTCCAGGGTATATTCTGTGAATAAGAACAAGTTCTCAGCTTATTTGATGGATTCGTGTTTCGGTCTACCGAAAATGTCTCTAGGTGCTATTGCCTACAATCCCATCTGTGTGGTTATAGGTTAAGCAACAAGGCAATTATGGCCAGAGATTAGATAAATATAGTACTTGACCACATAGACCGGCAAGAAGTACAAAGGGTGCGGTGATGAGTCATCTATTCCGCTCACCCTGAGGTTGAAAGAGTACCACCGTGTAATAAGGCCAACACAGCAGGTGTTTACGTCAAGCAATTCGACTACAAAACATATTCTCACTCCTAACATATATAATGGCATTGCCGTTACCTAATATTGCTAACTACATACATAATTGCAGATTCTTATTAATAAGAATATGCCATGGTTTTCAAAGAACACTTTGAGAACCACTGCTTTTAAACGAAAGCACTCACATGAGTATGTATTTATGTATGAATGTTTGTAAACTTGTATATACAATCGACCCAAACATGTTTAATACCAAACCATGTGCTTACTTTCTATAAGATACTCTTAACGTGTAGAGATACACAGATAGTGGTTGTTTTTGGTAAATACTCACTCAGCCAACAGCAACAAATACTCAACAAACACAGCAAATTATAAGAAAATACTTAGCAAAACAAAAAGCAGAAAAAATATGAAAGAAGCATGACTAAATAAGAGAGACCATATGTTTTGAAGCACATTCCAAGTTAAAGTATCTATAAGATATTAGTTAGTCATGTGTACGTAATATCGTAGATAGATATATACATACAAACATACATACATATTCAATGAAAACTAGCTGGTTAGTTTACGTCATTTTCACTTTATTTGCTAGTGTTCTTGGTATTATTTCATGGATTGTTGTAGTTGTTGTTGTTGTCATAGATTGTTTCTATTGCGTTTGTTAAATTCTCTAATATTTAAGAGATACATTGTTTCTTTTTGTTTTGGCCAAAAACATAATAAATAACACTATACTACATAGTGTCTTTTGTGTGTGAATGAGAACATTTTTTATACATTCTTTTTTTCTTTTAGTTTGTTTTTTTTTATCTTTTATTTATTTTATAGTATTTTTGGTTATAGACAAATATTTATGGCCAACAAGTGCTGCTGTTGACTCCTTTATATTGCTGGTTGTGATTTAATATGTATTTCTGTCTGCTTGTTGCTAACCGCCCCAGTGGCCCAATGGATACGGCATCGGCCTCCTAAGCCGGGGATTGTGGGTTCGAGTCCCATCTGGGGTAAAGATTTGTAAGAATTTTTTGTTTATAAAATTTCTTTGTAATTAAAAGAAATTTTAAAGAAAATTAATTAAAGTTAGAAAGTTTTATCCTTTCTATTCGAAATGGTTCAGAATTAGTTTAGAATTTGCAACTGATATGTGTTGGTGAATATGTGAGAGGAGATAGCTTAACATATTTTTTGGAATGTACAAACTTTTTATATAACTTTAGTTTCAAAATTTATATTTTCAACTAAATATTTGAAATATTCAACACTTCATTGATCATAAAGTTATCTATCCGAATATATACGAGAACATATTATAGACAAGGTTATACACTAGTCTATATAAAAGACATAATTAAGTATATACACAGACTAGTTTCTATATTAGAGTACATACTAGATTATAGGCTACACTATAGGCTAGACTATATGCTAGATTATAGACTAAAATATAGGCTAGTTTATAAAAACTATAAGACTATAGACTAGACTATAGACTAGACTATAGACTAGACTATAGACTAGACTATAGACTAGACTATAGACTAGACTATAGACTAGACTATAGACTAGACTATAGACTAGACTATAGACTAGACTATAGACTAGATATAGACTATAGACTAGACTATAGACTAGACTATAGACTAGACTATAGACTAGACTATAGACTAGACTATAGACTAGACTATAGACTAGACTATAGACTAGACTATAGACTAGACTATAGACTAGACTATAGACTAGACTATAGACTAGACTATAGGACTAGACTAGACTAGACTAGAGACTAGACTATAGACTAGACTATAGACTAGACTATAGACTAGACTATAGACTAGACTATAGACTAGACTATAGACTAGACTATAGACTAGACTATAGACTAGACTATAGACTAGACTATAGACTAGACTATAGACTAGACTATAGACTAGACTATAGACTAGACTATAGACTAGACTATAGACTAGACTATAGACTAGACTATAGACTAGACTATAGACTAGACTATAGACTAGACTATAGACTAGACTATAGACTAGACTATAGACTAGACTATAGACTAGACTATAGGACTAGACTATAGACTAGACTATAGACTAGACTATAGACTAGACTATAGACTAGACTATAGACTAGACTATAGACTAGACTATAGACTAGACTATAGACTAGACTATAGATCTAGACTAGACTATAGACTAGACTATAGACTAGACTATAGACTAGACTATAGACTAGACTATAGACTAGACTATAGACTAGACTATAGACTAGACTATAGACTAGACTATAGACTAGACTATAGACTAGACTATAGACTAGACTATAGACTAGACTATAGACTAGACTATAGACTAGACTATAGACTAGACTATAGACTAGACTATAGACTAGACTATAGACTAGACTATAGACTAGACTATAGACTAGACTATAGACTAGACTATAGACTAGACTATAGACTAGACTAGACTAGACTAGACTATAGACTAGACTATAGACTAGACTATAGACTAGACTATAGACTAGACTATAGACTAGACTATAGACTAGACTATAGACTAGACTATAGACTAGACTATAGACTAGACTATAGACTAGACTATAGACTAGACTATAGACTAGACTATAGACTAGACTATAGACTAGACTATAGACTAGACTATAGACTAGACTATAGACTAGACTATAGACTAGACTATAGACTAGACTATAGACTAGACTATAGACTAGACTATAGACTAGACTATAGACTAGACTATAGACTAGACTATAGACTACACTATAGACTAGACTATAGACTAGACTATAGACTAGACTAAAGACTAGACTATAGACTAGACTATAGACTAGACTATAGACTAGACTATAGACTAGACTATAGACTAGACTATAGACTAGACTATAGACTAGACTATAGACTAGACTATAGACTAGACTATAGACTAGACTATAGACTAGACTATAGACTAGACTATAGACTAGACTATAGACTAGACTATAGACTAGACTATAGACAACTATAGACTAGACTATAGACTAGACTATAGACTAGACTATAGACTAGACTATAGACTAGACTATAGACTAGACTATAGACTAGACTATAGACTAGACTACTAGACTAGACTGACTATAGACTAGACTATAGACTAGACCTATAGACTAGACTTAGACTAGACTATAGACAGGACTACTAGACTAGACTGATAGACTAGACTATAGACTAGACCTATAGACTAGACTATAGACTAGACTATAGACTAGACTATAGACTAGACTATAGCTAGACTATAGACTAGACTATAGACTAGACTATAGACTAGACTATAGACTAGACTATAGACTAGACTATAGACTAGACTATAGACTAGACTAGACTAGACTATAGACTAGACTATAGACTAGACTATAGACTAGACTATAGACTAGACTATAGACTAGACTATAGACTAGACTATAGACTAGACTATAGACTAGACTATAGACTAGACTATAGACTAGACTATAGACTAGACTATAGACTAGACTATAGACTAGACTATAGACTAGACTATAGACTAGACTATAGACTAGACTATAGACTAGACTATAGACTAGACTATAGACTAGACTATAGACTAGACTATAGACTAGACTATAGACTAGACTATAGACTAGACTATAGACTAGACTATAGACTAGACTATAGACTAGACTATAGACTAGACTATAGACTAGACTATAGACTAGACTATAGACTAGACTATAGACTAGACTATAGACTAGACTATAGACTAGACTATAGACTAGACTATAGACTAGACTATAGACTAGACTATAGACTAGACTATAGACTAGACTATAGACTAGACTATAGACTAGACTATAGACTAGACTATAGACTAGACTATAGACTAGACTATAAACTAGACTATAGACTAGACTATAGACTAGACTATAGACTACACTATAGACTAGACTATAGACTACACTATAGACTAGACTATAGACTAGACTGTAGACTAGACTATAGACTAGACTTAAGATAAAATTATAGTAGATCGATCTGGTTGTTCTTATAAAAAGCATCCAAGTTTAAATTTTCGTTTTCTTCTTTATTAAAATTTCTTTTATTTAAAATACATGTTCAACAAAAATATAATACATCCTTAATGTTCGACATAAAAAATACTACTCCCTTAATGCTTGGTTTCTTCTTGTTTCTTAACAATGACATAACTGCTGGCTTTGCCATGACCATGGCTATAGCCGTGTTCATATCCATTATCATGTCCACCATGAGCATATTCAGCATCATGATCGGCATTAGCTTTACCGGAGGTATGAACGACAGCATTGAAACCCTTATGTTTATCAGCGGAATATTCTACATGACGTGTAGTGCCATCAGCTTCCTTAACAGTGTAGCTGCCTAAAAATACGTATTGAAAGAAAAATATTAAAAGTTAACCATTATTTGCAACAAAGTCTATATAATTACCTTTAACATTGCCACCATCTCTGGTTTCGGATTGACTTTTAATGTCGCCAGTTTTGGGGTCCTTAACACCATAAGAAAATTCGTATTTGGGATAAGCATGATGATCATGACCATCATCATGGCCGCCATCATGACCACCGTAATGTCCTGAATCATGTCCTCCATAAGAGTGACCATCATCATGTCCACCATAATATTCTACAACATGTTCACCATAAGAATGACCATCATCGTGACCACCATAATAACCGGCATCATGACCATCATCAGAGTGTCCTTCATCATGACCAGCAGCAGCATCTTGTCCCCAAGTATGTACAGTAGCATGTCCAGCATCATGACCACCAGCTCCACCGCCATGACCATGATGATCAGCCTTATGTTCTGTGACTACAGAATAATGTACTGCGACACCAGCACCACCATTATCACCATGTCCATCATGACCACCGTCATGATGATAATGTCCTGCAGCTGCTAGACCACAAACTGCTAAAAGCACAGCAAAACTAGACCAGGAATTCATTTTAATTACTTAAAGTATAAAATAATTAAATTTATTTTAACTAATTTTAGGATAATTGTTTAAAACAATTCAAACTTCAACTGTGATTCTAATTGGCTGTTAGCCAGGTTATTTATAGTTAACAAAACTTTTTACCTTAGATTTTAAACTTTTTAAAAAGTAAAAGTATTTTTAGTTAAATTTCATTTAAATTTGTTGAACTTGAACTTGCGTAAAATAGGTCATCATGGGCGTTAACTTTTGAAATATGGTTTTACAATGATCTACACTTAGTTTAAGTTTTAACTTAAAATTTAAACTAAATGAAGATTGTTGTGGTGGTTATTACTTTCACTTCTTAAGTGTTTGAATTGTTTAGCAAGTGTATTATGCAAGTGCTTTGTGAATATATTTAAATACTTTAAATTATATCAAGTTACATTTTGACAGTACATTCACATATACATACTTACATAATTTAAAGTACCTCTTAATTTTGCATATTTGAGCTTGCAAAATAATAATAATAATAATAATAATAATAATAATAATAATAATAATATAATAATAATAATAATAATAATAATAATAATAATAATAATAATAATAATAATAATAATAATAATAATAACAATAATAAATAAGATATTCGTAGAGGTCGTCGATTTTCTAGACAATATCTGTCATGACATGTATTTACACCGGTTGCTGTGATACGGCTGTAGCATTTTAGAACCTGTAAGAAACATAAGCGCCAGTAACGCTTATTGGTATCAGCACGTAAGATATAAAGATCAGACTGAAATTGCAGAAGTGTGAAAGACAAAATTAGTAGTTAATAGTTCTAATTGAATATTAGATAGATCAGAAAAGTATGCCCGATCGCTAATTATTTCTAATATTGGAAAATTGAACATCTCCTCTTATGAAAACATCTAATCTGGAGGACTCAATCGTCTTGCATAAAGTATTAAAGTACTCTCTACGCCTTCATAGATCTGACTATATGCATGATAAGTTTTCATCTCGGACAAAGCTTACGTATTTTTAGCTGTTCGAGAGGATAAGTTCTCGCCATTTAGTTAACGCTCTCAGAGCTGATCTTTAATAAGTTTTTAGTGATGCCAGTGAAGATAGTTAGTTAGTTAGTTAGTTAGTTAGTTAGTTAGTTAGTTAGTTAGTTAGTTAGTTAGTTTGTTTGTTTTGTTTGTTTTAGTTAGTTGTTAGTTTAGTTCGTTAGTTAGTTAGTTAGTTTAGTTAGTTAGTTAGTTAGTTAGTTAGTTAGTTAGTTAGTTCGTTGTTAGTTAGTTAGTTAGTTCGTTAGTTAGTTCGTTCGTTCGTTTCGTTCGTTAGTTCGTTTCGTTAGTTAGTTCGTTAGTTCGTTTCGTTAGTTAGTTAGTTAGTTATTAGTTAGTTCGTTAGTTAGTAGTTAGTTAGTTAGTAGTTAGTTAGTAGTTAGTAGTTAGTTAGTTAGTTAGTTAGTTAGTTAGTTAGTTAGTTAGTTAGTTAGTTAGTTAGTTAGTTAGTTAGTTAGTTAGTTAGTTAGTTAGTAGTTAGTTAGTTAGTTAGTTAGTTAGTTAGTAGTAGTTAGTTAGTTAGTTAGTTAGTTAGTTAGTTAGTTAGTAGTTAGTTAGTTAGTTAGTTAGTTAGTAGTTAGTTAGTTAGTAGTTAGTTAGTTAGTTAGTTAGTTAGTTAGTTAGTTAGTTAGTTAGTTAGTTAGTTAGTTAGTTAGTTAGTTAGTTAGTTAGTTAGTTAGTTAGTAGTTAGTTAGTTAGTTAGTTAGTTAGTTAGTTAGTTGTTAGTTAGTTAGTTAGTTAGTTAGTTGTTAGTTAGTTAGTTAGTTAGTTAGTTAGTTAGTTAGTAGTTAGTTAGTTAGTTAGTTAGTAGTTAGTAGTTAGTAGTTAGTAGTTAGTTAGTTAGTTAGTTAGTAGTTAGTTAGTTAGTTAGTTAGTTAGTTAGTTAGTTAGTTAGTTAGTTAGTTAGTTAGTTAGTTAGTTAGTTAGTTAGTTAGTTAGTAGTTAGTTAGTTAGTTAGTTAGTAGTTAGTTAGTTAGTTAGTTAGTTAGTTAGTTAGTTAGTTAGTTAGTAGTTAGTTAGTTAGTTAGTTAGTTAGTTAGTTAGTTAGTTAGTTAGTAGTTAGTTAGTTAGTTAGTAGTTAGTTAGTTAGTTAGTTAGTTAGTAGTAGTTAGTTAGTTAGTAGTTAGTTAGTTAGTTAGTTAGTTAGTTAGTTAGTTAGTTAGTTAGTTATGCTTCCAAATTTATACTTAGATTTTAGATTATTTTCCAACACTTTTGTTGAGTTCATTACTCCTTCAATATTTGACTAATACTGTATGTTGTTTATGTTTTATTGTGGATATTATCAAACATTTTATTATATTTTCTGATAAAAACTTTTAATGTTTTATCCAATTTAACTTTTCCGTAATTTTCGACTTAAAAAAATAAAATTATAAACTATAAAAAGTAATAAGACACCTCGAAGGTATAACGGATGCAATAAAAGAAAAGAGACTGACTGTAAAACGTAATAAAAAGTAATAAAACAGCAGCAAAGTTAAGGAAGACATATACCCTACAATGAGTATGATATACTAGCTAATTCTGTAAAAAAATACAACTAGTCAAGCCTACAAAACACATATTCGGTTGAACAAACAAATTGAAATTACTTTTACTTATATAAAACCAAACTTTAAGGTGTATCCATCTTGATTACTTATAGATAATTTTATCTTTATGCGAATCAATAGAAAAATATTCTCTGCCACGAATGCCTTGAATCTTTAAAAAATTTCTAGTAATTTTAATTCTATAAAAAAACTCTCTTATTGTGTTGTAACTGTAATAAGATAAACAAAATATATTTCCTCTTTCTACTTGAATATAGTGTGTACACAAACGAAACTTTTTCCTTTTTTTCTCAAAAAAGTACCAAAACAATAGCCGGAAGATATTAAAATAAAATTTTATAACACAACACATAAATATGATCAATAAGTATTATACATGGAACTACAATACAATAAACAAGAAACAACATTAAGTTCAACAGATGAAAACAGAAAACTTAAAAATTAAACATTGAAAAATCTTATTTTTACAAAAGGAAATTTAATAGACAAATGCTGCATACTTACTTACAATACATACATATACAATATTGTATGTACATATAAGTAGTTACTATTATTTTTTTTTTTTTTTTTTTTTTTTGTCGTTCTGAAGTATTTTTTTGGTAAGTGGATTCAACAACAAAATTGAAAAGTTTTTTTTTGCCACTACGAATATACGAATACGGATATAAAGAGAAACATACTAATGGAAATTCACATGAATTATTAAGCTTAGATAATGGCTGTGAAAAATAATACAAAATCAAGGTAAACACTGAATATTATTTTTTGTTCAAACGATTAGACCATAAACTTGTTGAGGATTATGTTTAAAGAATCTGCAGGAATTATACGATTTCGAAGTATTCAAAAGATTAAGGTTTCTTGTTAATGCATAGTATGTAGTCGATAATTTCTTTGATGGTCTGTCAGTATTTAAAAGGTTTTGCGTGGGTGGACGTTAAGTTCAATGTTATGGTAAATAGGGTGGAGTTCGTTGTAAAAAGATCTTGAAGGATTTGCCGCAAGCTTTTATGTTTTTATGTAACTAACTACTAACTAACTAACTACTAACTAACTAACTAACTACTAACTAACTAACTAACTAACTAACTAACTACTAACTACTACTAAATAACTAACTAACTAACTAACTAACTAACTAACTAACTAACTAATACTAACTAACTACTAACTAACTAACTAACTAACTACTAACTAACTAACTAACTAACTAACTAACTACTACTAACTAACTACTAACTACTAACTAACTAACTAACTACTAACTAACTAACTAACTAACTACTACTACTAACTAACTAACTAACTAACTAACTAACTAACTAACTAACTAACTAACTAACTAACTAACTACCTAACTAACTAACTACTAACTAACTAACTAACTAACTAACTAACTAACTAACTAACTAACTACACTAACTAACTACTAACTAACTAACTAACTAACTAACTACTAACTAACTACTAACTAACTAACTAACTAACTACTAACTAACACTACTAAACTACTAACTAACTAACTAACTAACTAACTAACTAACTACTAACTAACACTAACTAACTAACTAACTAACTAACTAACTAACTACTAAACTAACTAACTAACTAACTAACTACTAACTAACTAACTAACTAACTAACTACCTAACTAACTAACTAACTAACTAACTAACTAACTACTAACTAACTAACTAACTAACTAACTACTAACTAACTAACTAACTAACTAACTAACTAACTACTAACTAACTAACTACTAACTAACGAACTAACTAACTAACTAACTGACTAACTAACTAACATAACTAACTACTAACTAACTACTACTAACTAACTAACTAACTAACTAACTTACTAACTAACTAACTAACTAACTAACTAACTAACTAACTAACTAACTAACTAACTAACTAACTACTAACTAACTAACTAACTAACTAACTAACTAACTAACTAACTAACTAACTAACTAACTAACTAACTAACTAACTAACTAACTAACTAACTAACTAACTAACTAACTAACTAACTAACTAACTAACTAACTAACTAACTAACTAACTAATAACTAACTAACTAACTAACTAACTAACTAACTAACTAACTAACTAACTACTAACTAACTAACTAACTAACTAACTAATAACTAACTAACTAACTAACTACTAACTAACTAACTAACTACTAACTAACTAACTAACTAACTAACTAACTAACTACAACTAACTAACTAACTAACTAACTAACTAACTAACTAACTAACTAACTAACTAACTAACTAACTAACTAACTAACTAACTAACACTAACTAACTAACTACTAACTAACTAACTAACTAACTAACTACTAACTAACTAACTAACTAACTAACTAACTAACTAACTAACTAACTAACTAACTAACTAACTAACTACTACTAACTAACTAACTAACTAACTAACACTAACTAACTAACTACTAACTAACTA